TTCAGCCTTGGCCTGACATTTCCCGTGACATTTGCTGCAAAGAAATAGAGTCATAAATCCAAAGGTTAAATTTGCACATTGCTATGCACTGCCGGGAGCAGCCGTGGTCCCTCCACCCACCAGGTGGCCCATGGGTACAGATTTGTGTGGGACAACCCACCCATCTCAGGTCCCTTTCTGGGCACCCAAAGTCTCTCCTGCCTTCAAGGGATACCAGTCATCATCTCCCCAAAAAGGTTCCTAGGGATCCCAGGCCCTAAAGGGAGAAGCATAGGCGTGCCTGTCAGAGAATGCTGCCTACTCCACTCTAAAACCAAGGGCCCAAGTTGCCCTCAGTAAGGAAGCTCCACCAGCACCATTTAACCCAGCCAGTCCTAAATTTGGCCATAAAACCCACACTTGACATCCACCAACATTCCTCAAAACTTTCATTTTAGGGAGCATGATCTGTGATGGCCAGTTCAGAATGCTAAGGTACTGACCAGACAGCCAAAGAGCACCCCTGGGCATTAGGCAGACTGCTCTGAGAAAAGCTGGGTCAGCTCCTGACCCCTCTACATCCTAGATGAGACCAGCTCCATATGCCAGGGTACTGAATGGGGCTCATACCCTGCAAGCCACCCCCCCCCGGCAGATATAGGGACCCTTGTTTCTGCTCATTCAGCCAAGGCCACTTTGGAAAGTGTGCCAACAGCCCCTGCCTCTTGGCTCCACCCTGTGGGTCCGGCTGCCTTGGAGAGGGTCATTGGAGCCTTCGGTCGCCCCTTCAGATAGAATACAGCTATAGGACAATGCCATCATCCCCCCACATCCTCCCACAGCAGGGCAAGGCAGTGAGGAAGTGCTGAGTTGGGAAGACCATCAGGACATACCAGGCAAGGCTGGAGGCTGTGTGAAAGGTGCTGAAGAGAGGTGGCCCTGCAGTGCTGGCTGCACAGATGGCCATTCTCAGAGCTAGAATCCTGGTCAGTGCCGGAAGCAGGCTCCACTCACTATGTTCACCCACCTGATGTTTCTAAAAGGGCTCAGAGGGGCTGGCAGGGGGACAGAAATTAGGCCTGGTCTCGGAAGATGCCCAAGTGTCGGGGGAGGGACATGTGGCCAGTCCCCAGGCCTCGTAGTTGCCTCCACTAAGAACCCGCAGGGGTGGGTTTGTGAGAAGCTCTATCTCCCAGAGTCCAGCCACACAGCTTGGAGGGGAGGGGGGAAGCAAGAGGCCAAGGCAGGTTTGGATAAATAAATTATGGTGCATTCTCAGGAAGGGATTCCACACACATCAGTAAAGCATGATGCACAAGAATAGTTCCTGACGTGCAAAATGTTTAAAATACAGTGACAAAAGAAGAAACTGCAGCACCAAACACCCGGCACAGTGGGACCCAGCCAGGCCCACGCGCTCCAGAGATGGTGCAGGGAGATGATGGGGGTGAGACTGTGCGCTCACCACCCTGGCTGGGCTTCCACTGGTGGCATTTAACCCTGGAAACCAAGAATCAAGGATCAGCCCCCTTCATTGGCCCAGCTCAGAAAAGGTTCTGCAGGCTGGGAATGAAAGGGTGAAGGAAGGGACAGTGGTGAGCAAACAGCATTTGGGCATGTGGCAGGCTCTGGTGACCTTGGTTGGGGGATGCGCACGCACACGCGCGCGCGCGCACACACACACACACACACCTTGGCTGGGCCATTGGGCAAAGACACTGAGGGATACAGTCTTGGGGGTCCAGGCCCTGGATGGCTACAGAAGCCTGGGCAGCCCTGCCTAAGGTCAGAGTCAGGTATCACCAAACTGGGTGGGAGGCAGCATGAACTTCACTGAGCAGGCACAGCCAAGTGCCAGGAATCCTTAGTAATCCAGGTCCAGGACAGGGCTGGGGTGGGGATATTGGATCATATACTCCCTCCATCTCTCTCCCTCTCCCTCTCTCTCTCTCTCTCTCTCTCTCTCTCTCACACACACACACACACACACACTCACTTGCGTGCACATACATACTCATTCAACTCCTTCCTTCTCCTGACCCCTTTCTTGGATGCTCTGAGGAGCTCTGGGGAGACTTTCCGGGCCACAAGCCCAGGACCACAGGAGGGCTCCCCCTGCCTCCTCTCCTGTCCAGGCCTCACCAGCTGGGCCCCTCCTGGTGCAGTCCTGGCTGCCTCAGCCATCCACGCTACAAGGCCTAGAACACAAGCCTGGGACAGGGAGTAAGGTGGGGACTGGGCTGTCCATAGACAGCAAAGGGAGGATGAGGCCAGGACCTGGATGGCACAGGGGAGACACAGCTCCACAAGCCCTATCCCTCACAGACATCTGGTTACTTGCAACAAACAACAGCAACAAACCACAGACCCTTCCATAGGCCGAATGCTGGCCTCCAGCCTCTCAGGACAGCAAGACTTTTCCCTACCTTCCAGAGCCCCAGCCCAGCCTCAAAAAAGCCTCAGTTTTCCTGTTTGTTGATTCCCACTGGGCCAGACTCCCCCTGGGCTCTCTCCCTTGTCTCTCATGGTGGGACTACAAGAAGAGGGGGCCAGGAAGGATCCCCAGCGTAGGAAAACCAGGGGCCAGGGTTCTGTAGGCCCCTGCCTCTGCCACAGCTGGGCAGTACATTCTTTCCCTCCCCGCCCACCACCTCCCCTGTGACCCCCACTCACCTGCAGCCTCTGTGGGATTTTATTGCCCCATCTGTGAATGGGGAGGAGGAAGAGACCCAGTTGGTGGTGCTGGGGTCCCAGGAGGTTCCCTGCTAACTGAAGAGAGGTATTTTGGGCATTTTGAAAGCAGAAGCATCAGGGTCAAATCTCCTTGGGAAAAGTGGGCCAACCCCACTGGAGGTCGGCCTTTGATATGCCTAACAACCTCAGATTATTGGCCCAAGTCACAGGTGAAGAAGACCGAGGCATAGAGGCACACTGCCAATGGGTGCTTGAGCCTGGACTCAAATCCAGGTCATGCCATACCCAGGCCTGGTGAGCTCCCCTCTGCTAGGAGTCTGGGTGCTGAACACCACCCAGCCAAGACTGTGGCATGGGAGCATACTTCTTTCTCACTTCTGCGGGAGAAGCATGGGGACAGTGTCCACTTTGCAGATGGGAAGACTGAGGTTTAGTAAATGGGAGTGGCCACCCCTGCTGCCCACCCCTCTTTTAGCATGTTCACCTCCACACAACCTACAGGATGACATACTTGTCCTCATTCTATGGATGGGGACACTAGAGATAGCCATGGATGGGGCCCTGCCTCTGAGCCCCTGCTCAGAGTCCTCCTCACCAGTGTTACTGGGTCACCAGCACTTTTACCAATCCCCCAGCACCCCACACAACATATGAGGCAGGTGAGACCACCATGGACCCCCTCACCAGAAGGTCTGCATCACAGAGAAACTGAGGCCTGTATGAAGTCATGTTAGGTCAGCTGCCCTGGTTAGCTGAGCTGCAGAGGCAGCTGAGTGTGCCCAGGGTCTGGCCTGACTGTCATGATTTTGACCTGAGGATGTGAGATGGGTCTTCTCTGACCAGGTAAATTCCAAGCCACCCATGGGGTCCAGCACTGGTGGTTGGGGGAGTAGCTAGGAGACCCTGTAGCTCATAGCCTGGGGTGGGGGCCCAGAACAAGCCCCCCAACACATGTTCCAAGGGCCTATGCTCCAGATTTGGCTATAGGCCTCCTGCGCACACAAGGGGCACCCACACCAAGAGGAAGAGTGACACATGCTAATGTGCTCACTGGGACACATGGTCATGCACCCAGACACACACGTGCAGTCACATATCTTATTACACAAGCACACACTGACCCAAAAGAGTGTAAAGGGGAGACTCCCAGGACAGACAGAGGTGGGGACAAGGGTCTTGCCCCTCTATCTGTGGGGCTCAGCTGCCCAGAGCCTTCCCTCACTAAACATGAGCATGCAGTGTGGGAGCAGTTCCCACTACAGGGCCCAAGCATGTGGCAAGCATGGAGATCACAGCAGGCATGCTATGTGAATGCGTGTGTCTGTAGGTGTGCAGATGGGGGCGAGAACATGGATGTGCACCCTCAGAGTCCATGTGTGTTCCTCTAGTGTTGTGCATGTGCACACTGGGGCAGCCTTGGCAGGCATGTGCACACGAGGTGTGCAAGTGTGCAGCCCACGTTGACACGTGCACGTGCAAGGAAACGTGTGTACAGCCTGCGGCATCGTGGACATCACTAGGGCAGCTGGGGTGGGCATCCTCCCTGTCCCATGCCCACCCCAGGTCCTCCAGGCACGCATGCCCAGCCCACACAAAGCCCACCCTCGCTTGGCCCCACTGCAGGGACCTGGCACCAGTGGGGGAAGGGGTCCTACAGAGCTGTCAGGGAGCGGGTGCTGCAAGCCCCAACGCCCCTCATACCTCTCCAACCCCCTCATACCTCTCCAAGAAGCCCCACAGGGGCTCGGGTTGCAGGTGGGGGCAGGGGGCGTTGCTGTTGCCTTTCACCGCGATAGGGGTGCCCTAGGGGGCACCGCTGGGATTGCCTTGTCCCCCACGCCCTCTACAGCTGCCAACGCCCCCAAGCATGCTATTAGGCCTGACCCCAGAGGAAAGGGAGGTTCAGGGCCGAGTCCGCGGGGCTGGGGAGATGCCTGCATCTCCACTCTGTACCCACGTTTCGCAAACCCCGCTCATTAACCCCTTCACGGCCCTGGCGCTCCGAGGCCGGACCCCGCCCTTCCAGCCCACAGTCCCAACCCCGCACCTGGCCCTGCATCTGGGACCCCCGACCCGCTGCTCCCGGCCCCGCCGTCGCCAACTTTCCCGGAAAGCGGCAACTTTTCCTGCTGCCGCCGGCTCCGCCCTCCCGGGGCCGGGGCGCCTGCGGCCCCAGCCCGGCGCGGCACTGCGGTGCCCTCCCTGCGCCCGCCCGGCGACCCTGCTTGGGGACCCGGGACCGGCCCTGCTCCTCCGGGGAAGGGTCGAGCCGTCCTCCTTCAGGCTTCCCACTTCCAGCCCGGCTCGGGCGCCGCGCGGACACTCACCTCTGGCGGACACCTTCTTCATCTTAGGGGTCGGGCGGGGCGCGTCGGGGACTGAGAGTCGATTCGGGGCTGGCGCCCGTCTCCCCGCGGCCGGGTCCGCATCCAGGCGCCGCCGCTCCGGCCCGGTCCCGGCCCGGCCGCGGGACGAGGCTGGGCGCGCTGCG